ATTTTTAATATAACTCCGACTGGATTCGTCTGAAAGAAGAAAGTCATATACACCTAGGATGACTTGAGGGCGAGTAATTTGTGGGCTAATTTTAATTTTTGGGTGAACTAACCCTTTAAATATTTGATTACAAATCGCTTTAATATGGTGATGTGCTGACTGACAGGGTTTATTGTATAGTTTTTACAGCATTAGTTGAGAAAGATTTTTTTTTCCTTGGGAAAAAAAAAGTGACGTACTGTACCTGATTGCCTATATATCCAAAGGAATCAATACATAGCTCAAAAAAAGAATCGAATTGCAAGCTTGTGAATCGAAATCGTGAAATTTGTCTCAATCCCCAGCCCTAGCGAGGTGTTTCTGAGTGTCTCACTGTGTTCTGTCTGTGTCTGTAGAGGAGCTCCGGCTCGGAGCTGCAGGAGATCATGAGGAGGCGGCAGGAGAAGCTGGCGGTGGCGGCGAGCGATTCCGGCGTGGAGTCCTTCGACGAGGGGAGCAACCACTGACCCCTCACTCACCTCTGTCACCTCTGACCTTTTACAGGACGCCGTGGAGCGCGCTCAGTTTGCCGCCATAATGCGCCGTCGTCAGGAACTCTTGGACCCGTCCGATAACGTAACCGGATCGGACGCGGACGAACGCGCGTGACGAGACGCGAGAGGCTTTTTGTAGACATGTGAACGTTGCTGCGGCGTTCTCTGTAGGTTCCTGTGAGAACATCAGAGCAGTATGTAGTCTAGTGCCATCGAGTTCTGCCTTCATAGTCCAACATCCTAAAAACATTAACATTTATATGCAATCATTTACTGCTCGGACAGAAAACCTGTGTAAATACTCCCACACGATTGGCTGGATCTTGGACCAAATATTGATTCGATTAGCTATTGTTCCTCACAGACACTTCTGACTAATGACGTCTTGAATTATTCATCAGCTGCTTTGAATGTACCTGGAGAATTATGGGTAACATTTTTTTTTTTACTAGCAAAATAATGTTTCTGTACATGATCGTTTTGTACTGAATTGTACCGCCAAACGAGAAGATTTATAAACCTAATGGAAATGAAATGTCAGTTTCTGTAGATCTGACGCGAGTTTCACAAGAACATTTGACAGATTTTGGGCCAAAATCCTCCTGCAGTCTGCAGATGATATTGATGATGCCATCAAACTTTCAGAAATATGACTCGTTGCAAGCGTTGATTATTTTCCTCTCTATCCCAGTAACGTGACTGATGTTTGGCCAAATCAATCTCTGGGTTCAAGGTTTCTGTTTAAACACAAATGTCACGCATTCAATCTGTAAATATAAAGCGTGTGCAGAATAAATGGGATCATGTGACCTTTGTGTGCCATCCATGATCGTGTGATTGTTAAAAAGATGAAGATCAACTCTCAGACTCCTTTGTTTTTTTTGGGAGGTATTTTGCTCATTCAAAGCAATAAAACCCAAGCATTTTCTACCTCCAGCGAGATTTGAACCGTGATTCAGTCCACCGAGCCACAGTCTTGAGAGCTTAGCTGTAGAAAATAAATCAGTAAAGGGTAAGAGGGTGCGAGAAAACCTTGATTCAAATCCTCTCGGTGCTTACGCTTTTCCTCATTTGCTGAAGCTCTCGATAAGAGCTCAAAACACTCACCAGTGACTCAGGAGATAAAGAGTTGTCTTTTAATCATAGCAGCCGGAGTTCAAATCCCACTACTGCTTGTTAAATAAATACAATGAAGCGTTCTAAGCCGAGATGGGCCAGTGGTTAAGTCGTCTGAGCAAACAGAAGCATACTTGTTGAAGGCTTGTTTCTTTGGAGAATGTTTAAGTAAAAAAAAAAACTAAAGCATAGTCCATAGGGCTGGGTAAAAAAATATTGATATCTCGATATTAATCGATTCTCATTTTTACGGAATGATATCGATTCTTAAATCCCAAGAATCGATTAGTCTAGCCTGTTTTCAGTTAATGGACGGAGCGTTGAAGGGCACTTCCCATTCAATAAATCGCAATAAGCATTGTGCTTTGGTACTTTTAATATGAAACAAAGTCTCAGATTTCAAATTCTGTCCATTGTA